ACGATTACAATTAACAGAAATATTTACATCTAATTGCATATAATCTTTAAATGGTATTTAGTAACTCAATAGAGTAAATCAAAACAAATACTTATGGAAACAGCTACTAGTGTATTCTAAGTATTCTCTCAACGTTATCAAGCGCATAATTAGTCAATGGATATAAAGGTACATAAAGTACATTATTTTTTTTTAAGTCCGTCCATTGCACCAAGCGCCCCCTCATGTCTCGTCACTGAACGATTTAAAGCGATGATCGATTTTTGTGTAACAAAGTGCTATTTCATTGGAAATAATGTACGATGACCTCTACCAACCCTTATTACCCAAGACCTTGCAAGAGGAATTTGCCCGTCCACCCTGGTCTAGAATATTCTCAAGCCCGTGTCATTATTTGACCAGTTCATAACATGAATATGTTTGTTCAGAGAGAAGGCATGACCCATGCGTGTTTATAAGATAACATATCTACTGCGACCTTGATTTGATTTATTGATAAACGATTTCATTCAGATATTACATGTATAGTAAGAACACACGGACTGTACCAACCACAGTTATAAATAAACCGGAAAACCCGTAATTCGAACAACAGCAAGCCAAAACATAACAGCGTAAGCTATCATAGAATTATATACTATTCAAAAAAAGTAGGGGATATTTGATTTTGGGGGCATAATACTAAAATATGCAAATGACTACGAAAAAAGTCACTATAGAACCTAACAGAAGAAACATTTCCAGTTACATGTGACACCCAAACGCACCAATAGCTACCGCATGGAATGCAGGTGATGCTTGGGATCATCATGGGGGTCCAACCCAAGATTTGCACGACTCTGACTTTGAATGTTACAGTCATTGTGGCATTGAATTCCAGGGTGGAAACATCAGTTTAATTGTTTTAGTGACCAGAAAACAAATTTTGATATGCGTCGGCTTACCCAAAATGAAAGGTTACGTGCCCTTGGCATGCTACAGATCGGCACAACACAGGCGGTTGTGGCGCGGACGATGAATGTTTCTCAGTCTGTCATAAGCAGGCTATGGTCCAGATACCGTGATACACAATCTGTACAGGACAGACCACGCTCAGGTCGACCAAGGGCGACAACTCAAGCCCAGGATCGATTTATCCGTACCTTGGCCTTGAGAAATCGTGTCATCACAGCAAATCAGATCAGCGCTCGTCTTCAAACAGACACTGGTGTGAGAGTGAGTGGCCAGACGATTCGGAATCGACTGCATAGGGGTCACCTTCGCGCCCGACGTCCTCGCGTGATCCCTTGTTTGAGAGATCATCACATTCAGGCAAGACGTCGTTGGTGTAGGGATCGTCAACACTGGGATAATCGACGCTGGAGCAATGTGATGTTTTCAGATGAGTCAAGGTTCACTGTTGATTTTTTGGACAGACGTAGGAGGGTGTGGCGTCGTCGAAACGAGCGCTTCCAAGACGTTAACGTCATCAGACATGATCGATTTCTGGGTTGTTCTGTTATGGTGTGGGGAGGCATCACTGTTGCTGGAAGAACGGCTTTACATGTTGTTGCAGGGCGTGTTACAGGCCAGTACTACCGGGACAACATCTTGGCAGTCCATGTTGCGCCGTTCGCACGACGTCATAGCCGCCGTTTCATCTTCCATGATGACAACGCAAGATGTCACAGGGCCAGGATCGTTACAGGTTACCTCCAACAACAGAACATCACCACATTACCTTGGCCAGCACTGAGTCCCGACCTCTCCCCCATCGAGCATGTCTGGGACATGCTTGGACAGAGGTTACGTCAACGTCAACAACGTCCTGCCAATGTCCAAGAACTTGCTGCTGCGTTGCAACAGGAATGGGACAATCTGGACCAAAATGACCATAGACGTCTCATTAGGAGTATGCCACGTCGGATCAATGCTTGTTTGGCAAACAGAGGAGGATTTACCCGTTACTGACTTGGTTGTGATGCTGTGGTAACTTTGCTGTTTGACCCCGGGTATCATTTTACCCATATAATGGTCAGTCTGTGCCTTACTTAGTCTAACGATCATTTGGAATAAATCGATGAATGTGAACTTCATTTCATTTTGTCATTTGTTTCTTCGTCAGTTTCATTAGGTGACTTTAATAACACTTAAAAATCAAATATCCCCTACTTTTTTTGAATAGTAATAAAAATACGAAAAACCAGTTTCTGTATAGGTTAACCCCAATTGGTGGTTGTAATTCATTCCCCTTTCCCTTCTACAGCTGAAATGTCGCTTTCACACATTTCCTGCTCTATGAAGCATACCCTCACACCCACATTCCCCTTTAACATACATGCATTAGTCTGAAAATTAATGTCAGTTCGACGAGACGTTAGAAACATTTAACATTTATCGACAATGTAATATTGCACAATAACAGGGAATGTTTATTGGAAAAGAAAATTGTGATAACTTTATCTTTAAGATCTAAACCCGGTAACAACGGAATGCGAACATTTAACATTGCGTGATATCACCAGAGATAAGATTGGGTTAACCAATATTTCAGATGGAATATTAAGAAAATACAACTAGCAAGGGCTCACTAAGCTGGATCCGATGGCGGCGTTGACCGAGAAAGTTCATCGGGATTTCCCAACCTGGTTCCCTCTTATCAGTGACACAGGACAGACGAACTGACAAGAAAAGGGAGTCTCGTCGTTCGGATTGTCCGATTACACGAGGCTCATACGTGTACTTGTTGGTATGGCTGTCCGGGCATAATTTTCCCCATGCAACACTGCATGGCGTATGCCTATCTTCAGTAGTCTAGTTAGTGCTAATATGTAGGACATTATAAACCCCATTTCGTTTCATTTTGTTTACATTCCGAAACAACATCCAACTAGTATTGAAAATACTATGTCATTTTTGTATTTGTCCATTAATTAGAATCTGGCGATCGGTGGAAGTTTGGACCAGATCCGGAGACAAGCTACGGGGAAATGTTAATCTCTTGCCTATAAAATATTAGAAATTTCGCGAATAAATGTATATAACTTTAAGATATTCATGTTTTGTCTACGTAAACAAAGGAAAGAACTGAAACGGGATGGACAAAAAAAAAAACAAAACAAACGAAATTGTGAAACTTAATATAGTATGCTTTCTGTAGACTTTTTGTCCTGGAATTGAATTTACATTTTCTACCAGGTTTTGGACAATTCTGACGATTTTGACGCGGCATCAGGTGGTACACATACATGAATTAAAGAAAGGGCGTACGAGAATGACGTCACAGAATTTGATTCAATGTGACATGTTGGGCATTCTTTGGGTATAGCAATACGACCATCGGCATGCTCCAGAAATGGCATAGGCCGATGAATGGCGCAAATTTGAAACTGACGTCAGTGGGGAGATAATTTAATTACTAGTTCTAATCGAAATATTATAATTTGATTAAGTTATATCAAAATACAAATGCAGGGTTAAATTTATATTGTTGTTAGTCGTAACATCGCGTATTAAAAGTAGGCAATGTAATGCTAGGTTCCTACTGTCGTGCGATGCGTTACGACACGCGCGTCTCTACTGGGTCCACGATCTACTACGTGCAGATACGAACGGATGCGTTTGATTGGATAAATACGATTGCTACGACTGATCTCAATACATGAGAAGACCTGATAGGATCACCATGATTAAAACCACGATTTCAATCGTAGCACGAATCGTGAAAGTGGGAACCTAGCATTACCGCTATTGATTCATATATATTTTAATGGAGAGCTAAAATGTATTACACCGCCTCCCACACCCACATCTTACCACAACATTCTACAACAACCGAACTAATGAAGACGAGCATACACCATGCAGTGAACTGTGACGACGAATATTTTACTTGCACTAAGACATTTTCGCCTATTTATGTCGAATTCCAATTGGTTTGGGTTCTCTTACGGGCACACCAACGAGTAAACGGGAGCTCGATTTTTCGTACCAACCGAACGCCTAGGGAACCTTCCTTGCGCCAGGTGACAAAGGAAAACCAGACAGGTAAATCCTGAGGAACTTTCTCGGTCAACACCAGGATCGATCCTGTGACCCTCTGGTTAGTGAACTGCCCATTCGCGAATCCCCGGATGTTGCGTACAAGACATGATATAGCCATCCTCGGTATCCCCAGTTTTTCATTCCGTTCTACTCCACTATACCCTGGGTTAATCCATAGGGTTTTCACGAATTCAAATTATCTGCCCTGGCCTTGATTGTAGCTATAGTCTACGAACCAATTAAGAAACAGTTTACAAACCAGTCGTTTCGCCTTCGATTTTATAAGGGTAATTAACCAAATTCATGTCCATTTACTGAATGATTTATGTAAATAATGTATATATTTCTAATTCATTTATAATTAATTGTATTATCAAAATATGTAATATGTTTCGCTGATTTCAAATATGTATAACATCTATATGTTTGACTTTTGTTATTATTATTACTATTTGTTCTTTATCTGAAATGTTTCATTCTGTTATGTTTATTATTATTGAACTTATACTTGGCAATTAGGTCTCCATTAATTTCCTATATAATTTGTTGTTAGTAAGTACGCATTTAGAATAATTTGAACTTCTCTCATTTAGGCCAACTCCTAAACTTGACCGATGAGAGTTACCTCCATTTCCCAACTTCCTTTTCAATTAACGATGGATGGGATTGGTCTTTAAAAATAGTACAATCATCAAGAGCGAATAATTTGAAAACGTGTCTCCCCCATAGATTAACCCAGGTTTTAGTGGAGTAGAACGGAATGAAACCACTGGGGATACCGAGGGTGTGATATAGCATACTTAGTTTTGTTGTTGCTATTTATGAATGCACTTTAGCTTTATGTATTTATAACTCAGACTGTCCTTATCGGTCACCAGTATCTATTCAAGGTTGATGAGATCATGCCAAAAAACTGTTCTATTTATTATAAAGAGAAGTGTCAGTGTTGATATTGATAAGAAATGAGGTCATCTATTTTATCTTAGAAGCACAATTAAAAACAACATATATACGGAAATATCTCGTTTAATACACATCGCAGATCATAACACTGTCACATTTTTATCCAACTTTCAAACAGGTAAGTGGTGCTCTAAATCGGCGGAAAAATAATGTGGATTTTTAGGGTTGTCTGTAGGGGTTAAACTGATGGCATAACGATAGCGAAATTAAAATGCTAGACTATGATATATTCGTTCACTTTCGTCTGATTCGTAAAGTTTCATTTGTACATGGCGTTATGACTAAGTTATCAATATATTTTCGCATGTAAGTACCGTCCAAACTTTGGTGACGTGATATGGAATGAATTTAACTTATTACTTTTTTGCGCCAACTTGACCAATCAAGACGGACAGCTAGCTAGCTCTCATCTTTGGCTGTTTAAGTAATATTAGGAATCGTTAGGTCAGAATTCGTAGATCAACTGCAGACTGCGTTAGAGGATTTATTCGAGAAAATATCTTTGAATGAAAACAAATACCGAGAATCGCTACCAAACAAAAATATTATGAAATTTGATTGTGTTAAGTATTAGTAATGTGGTTACTCTAGATTATAGAAAAGAGAAGAATTTTGTAAATTTTAAATATCGTATGATGTGTTTTGGATTTAAAGAAAAAAATTTAAAAGAAGATTATAAAACCCCCTAAAATATAGTGTTATTCTTTGGCTGAAAAAAGAAAAATGGTTATGAAATTAAAATGAAAAGTTCTCGGGGAAAAAAATGATGCAAAATGGACTGAAATTAAATCTATACCTGTGTCCCCTACCCACCTTTGTGCTGTAAAAGTACTTATTTTGGTAAAAAAAATTGTAATTAATCGTAATTCGATTTCATAATTTAAGCAAATCCCCTAAAATGCCTCATCGTTGATATTTTGATGGTTGACAGCCAGCAGAAAAATATAACAAAATGACTCTGCTTTTGGACAGTGTTTTCGTAGCCATCAGTGGGTTGAGTGACCGAGTTTATTGAGAATTTTCAAAAGTAGTAAGGAATGTGATTCACTTTGTGTACTAGTAATATGTTATTTGCTCTCTTTTTTATTTAGAAACACCAAACACAAATTGATCAAAATGGTTTTGTGCTGGATCCGAGATGAAATTCCAGAGAAGAATTCTGACCCACATATGAAATATCCAGGTCAATATTTGACCCCTGAAGAATTATACATAACAACAGGTGTTCGATTATCACAGGTAGGCAGTAATATTTTCATCTAAAGAGTGCAACCAACTCGAGGTTGATTTTAGTGTATGTTTGGGTTGATTCAACATGCTTGCTCCGATCTGTATACTAAACCGAAATATAATTGCTTCTAATAAAGATTGAGAAAAATCATGCAATGTATAAATTAAAACGTTAAAAAAATAAACGGCTAATTTGCTTTGCCATGGTTACGTGGGCAATGTCAGGGAGGAGAATTTTTCCCGGGGAGCGGCATTTTCTACCTACAGTCAAGGGATCTATTTCGTTCTACCGGTGTATTAGCTTCAAAGCCAATTTGAAAGCTTATTTGGTGTACCATGAGAATAGTGCCGATGACTGTTGGCAAATCCAACATCCATATCATCCTCCGTTTCCCTTCTCTGAGGACGAATTCTGGATGGAACATTTCTAAATGCTAGACACTGCCTGATAGGGTGTTATTACCACCATTATAATAATAAGTGCAAGAGGACCGCACTACACGCAAAACAAAAATCTACAAGATAAACCTGCGGACATGACAGAATATCGTCATTGCAAAAAATAAACAAAATGTCAAATCAAGTTATGTAAAAATGGTACAATGTATTTCGGAATCCTGGTTGGAGACGATTATTTGAATAAACTTGTCTGCGATATCACTTCGATGGAAGCGGACGTTAAATAAAGCTATTTCACACACACATTTGAATAAGTCTTATATGGATAAATTGTTTTCCCAGGCTGTGGTAGTATTCTTGTAAAATTATTAAGAGAATGTACTTCAGGAAAGTCAAACAATAATATATAATTTTATAATTAATTACGACTATCAATAGACTTTGTTGTTCATGTTTATATATCAGAAGGACTCAGACTAGTAATTATTTGCCCATTGACTTCAATGTTAAATGGCTGTAACATCACAGGCTGTAGCTTTTTTCTTAACATTCCGTTGGTTCCAATCTTTATAGGCACAATGGGGACAACATTTGGCAATCTCCTCATCATAATTTTGTAGGGGGTTGACCATTTAGATTTTTTGCTACACGGATTTGAAGTTGACTGGGGTGAAAATCTCACTTCAAACACAATGATTGCTCTGCAGAAAGACACTTTACACCCCCTATCCCTCCGCTGTAATATCATCAGTATTACCCAAAACTGTTATGAAATTGCAAATTTGATCCCTTTTCTCCAATTCTAGACCAAAAAGTCAACCCAAAAATGCAGGAAGAGGGGAGAAAAAAATTAAGGGAAAAATTGTCTATTTATAACTCATGAAATAAGGGGAAATAATTACTAGTCTTAATCCAGAAATGGAGGCAGACCACCATTAAATTTCATCATCTCGGTACCCACGAATTGTAGTTCGTCTATTTATAGCAATTCTCTCTCTCTCTTTTCTCCCCTTTTGCATGCCCATTTGTGTTGATTTTTTGGTCTAGAATGGATGAAGAGGGTTTGAATTAACATTTTCTGCCAGGTTTTGGTAAATATTCATGATTTTGAGGCGGAAGGATAAGAGGGTTATCAGGTTAGCTACGGCGATATGTACGGCAACTAGTTACATGTTTTTAGTATGCTTCTTCAAGTTTGTGTATCTCAAAATTTTGGTGGTCAACCTCATACAAATTTTAGTGCAAAGACATGACCATTTGTTCCTCTGTCTGTAGTGGAAAGCATTCAGCCCAACGAAAATTTGGGGAAAAGTTGGAGGTGGGCAAATAGGCCAGAATTAACATTGAAGTCAATGGGGAAATTAATGGTGGTCTGCCTCCAAATAAGTGGATCCAATATGTAGTTAGCTCCCTTTAACGGTTGGTAACTATGAGGCTGTTTAATATGTCTACTGCGTCTATTAGCATAGTATACAATGCTGATACCAAACAACAACATTGACGGTATTAAGCCGTGTTAAACCACGGATGGTAATGTTTATACCAATATATGTTCCCATATATACATTTTAAACAAATATTATATTGTAAACAATGAAATGCATTATTTTAGGTACCATTAGAACACCTCACTAATGAAGATCGTTTGGCCGAGTTGAGGAAATTCAAGGGTTATGTCTACAACGATTATGTTACCATTGTACGTGGTAAAACAGAAGAAGAAAAGATAAAGGTAAAGTCATAATAGAAAAGTAGAACAAAATCTTATCACCTGTGTTAACACCTAAAATGGGATATTCCAATTTCCTCGCACTGCAAGAAAGCGAATTATTGAACTAAAACTATAGCATAGGTTTGTTCCGAATTGACCCGGTAGCTCCCAGTTGTCTTCAATCCCCCTTCCTCAATCCTTCTGTCTCTCATGGACTGTAGATTCGGATTCTGAAAGCTAGTGACTCATTTCGTTTGTATATCAGCTTTGGCGGTTGAATTCCACGTCCAAACTATCGTAACAATATTTCAGCTATAATTAGTTATACGTGTCATACTTGATGCAGGGTATGCTTTCTAGACCATTTAACACTACTACACATTTTTTGATCATTTTATAAATCACCCACCTTTTTCATGAATGTATTTACCACAATTTGTTAACGTTTCTACAAATTATATATATTTGACAGATGCAGGCATACATGACCGAACATATTCACCATGATCCAGAAGTCAGACTTATTGTTGATGGAAGTGGTTACTTCGAAGTTCGTGATATCGATGATAACTGGGTCAGAATGCACGTGTTCCCCGGTGACCTTATTGACCTCCCAACTGGTATCTTTCACAGATTTTCATTGGATAATGATGTAAGTATCGTAGTAATGATCATGCCGTTTATAAGACAAAAGTTTAAATGGCTAAAGGCACTTAAGGTGGATTAACTTCGTCGTATGAACCTAAGAAATAATACTAATGTACCTATTTAAATATGGCTGTTCTCACCTGTCTTTGAGAAATGTTTATTCTCAAAGGTGGTTAACTCCTGCCTTCTTAATAAATTAGATTAAACCGAAAATGATGACCATTACCAGAGTCAGAACCCAAAATCTGAAATTAGTCTTCAGATCATTATTTCTCTGAAATATTACTTGGGTGTGAAATAAAAGGTCATCGGCCTTCAAAAAAGTCAGATCCTTCGGACAATTGGATGTCACGACCCCACTCCTCCCTATACCGACACGGTCATTAACAAAATTGGTCACGCGACCTGCCTTGGATTTGAAAAGCACTGATAATAAATAATGTAGATCAAAAATGGTTAGCAATTAATAATATATTTATCATATTGATTAAACATTGAGATGAGGTAACAACATGATTAAGACGTTTGCCGAAGATTCATATACAAAACCGTGAATAAATCACAAACAGTTGGATTTAACACCCACTGCTGATAGTTCTGTGAATGATACACTTTGGTTTTAAAATCGCTGGTGATATTACGCTAACTTTTCTTTCGGGGACTGACAAGTTTTCATTATCCCAGTCGATGCAGAAAAGTAGAATGTTATATAAGCCTCCATTTTATTATATCTTATTTAAATAAAGCTAGTCTGACATTGAATATGGACATTATTTATATTGCTTTTAAATTTATTTTAGGAGTATGTAAGAATGCACCGACTCTTCACAGATGTTCCAGATTGGACTGCTGTTAACAGAACTGATATTATCACTCATCCTTCCCGGGACAGATATCTGGAATACATGAACCAAGTCAAAACCGGATTAATTGAAGCTAATTAAGATCAAAGATTGAAGGCCATGGGTCAAACTGTGTGGTGTTGAAGGAATGGATTTATAGAAATGACTATAACAGTTTACGACGCTGTAATAATATATTAACTCAGTAGGCATTTGATTTTAGATATCTTCAGCCAATATTAGCGAAATTAGCACTAATAATATTTTTTTTCTGAAAGCTTTTCTGTTAAACTCTTACATGTCTATGATGAAATCATAAGTCAATTAAAAGTATAAGTCAATAAAATAACGTAAACAAATGTCTGTAAACTTCCTATCTTAAATATCTGACATCTCTCGATCCTCTGAGATTAGTCGGGATGTGGTCAGACAGATACTTTAGACCCTGTTCATTCCGCACCTTTTAATGCTAGAATTTCGTCATATATCGGTATAGCTTAGGCTTTCCCAAGATCTCACCAATGCTTACAGTTTTAGATCGGTTTCAGAAGCCAAAGCTAGTTGGTACATGACAACGTCAGGGAAATATTTTTGATAATCAGTGAATTAAAGTTTCAATCGACTAGAGGTTAGTTTTCTTTGGCCCTTTTCAAATTGCCACATGCACAATCAAGGAGTCCCCGACTTTTTCTCGATTCAAACTCTCATGCAAAATCGACGTCCTGCTCAAAACCACCCGTACAGCAATGTTAAATTTATAGAAAGGCGGATGTGACCATAATTGTTTATAAGAACATTTTGAACAAATGCTAATGCTACTTGACTAGTTCCATCTGATCAGTAGGTTTCATCACAAGCATATATAGTCTGAAACTCTCCAGGATTGTGTCAGGGGTGGAGGACGAACAAAGAACTTCGGTCCACTTTTGTTTTAATGTACATTATGTATTAAGAATCTTATATTACCTACCGTTAACAAAGTTCACTTAATGCCCTGAATTGCGTAGGTGGGACATGTCGTTTATTTTTGAGAAGCTAGTGATCCGTGGTGAAGCAATAATACTCTTATGAGGAGAAGCTTTTGTGACAGATTTTGGTCTTTAATTTGGATTATGTGCAAAAGGATGATGTTCCTGATTAAACAGACATTGAGTAATAGCTTTTACTTGCAGGGTGCGGAAAAGTGAACATGTACTCTTTTATAAAGATATTCGCAGCTAACGAAATCATTGATATTTCAGTGTTGGCAGAGCGTGTTGACGATACTGGTTATCAGTTTGGTTATCACGGGTGTATGTTTTTGGAGTGTGGTGATTCTAGAAACCGTTGTTTAGAGGAAAACATTGGATCCCTAAATATATCATTTAGACTGTCGAGCATGATGTACGTTTTTGTGCACTAATTACAGGCAAATATACATGGCTATGTCTAGAGTAAAACATCATCAAGATGTTTGTGGATTTGACAAATAATCTGGGTACCGTTTTAAGAAGCCCACTTTAAATTACGTTCACCTGTGATGTTTAAAGTTTGGACGTTTCCTTGGCATTTTTATTTTAGGGGGGTAGGCGTTAAGATCAGAACTTTAATGTTAATTTTCTAGATGTATAAATAAGAGTAAATAAAGTCTAACAATTTTATTCAGTTAACAACACAAATAATTTATAACTAGAATAAACTAACACAAAATAGACAATAATTTTTGACATAATTTGAATAAATCATCTCACATTTTTATGAACAATGTCGAGACAATATTAATCAGAAAAGAACTGATTTAAATGAATAATGTACGCTGAAAAAATATATTTATTTTACGAATTTTAAAACGGCAACAATGCTACAATGGAAGTCAAATACAGAGTTAATGAATTTTGCACAACAATGGCAATACAATATAAAGTTTGGGTCTATACCAAATGGAACTAAATCATACTGATCCAAACAATATTCAGATTTAAACACACATTATCCATGTTAAACCGAAAAGTGTTACTTAGATAGTAATTTAAAAGGGTAAAACCACACTTTGTAGGTTACAAAATGTCATGGTATCGATGTTAGCGGATACAAATTAAATAAATTAAAATTCAGGTTATGTCATAGATATGAAGATCAGTAGAAACTAAGTAAACATCAAGTGGCAATAATTAAAGTTGGGATTTAGTTGAATACTTTTAGTTGAAAACTTTTTGGACCAATGTATTGAATGTAAGATTGCATGTGAGTAATTTTAAATTGGCTCAAACTCTTTGATGTGGACAAAAAAACCTTCATATTTTTGCCCAGATATCAGCTTAATTAGGAACTGATATAACAGTTTGACCTGTTGCCTTTATAAACTCCATACAAAAAATACAAACGTTGTATATCGATAATGAAAATTTTTTATAGATACAGATCCATACCTATACTAAAATACATGCAGCATAGGACATAAGTACACACACACACACACACACCAGTACAAGCGTACTATAGGAACCTATCATGACGTACACACATACACTAGTACTATAGGAACCTATCATGACGTCATAGCAAACCTTATGCAAGTGTCCAAAGATTAAGCATGCTAAGTTTCATGTCGACCGTACTCGAAATGGCGGAGGCATGGGCTTACTAGTATTTTTACGATAACAAGTGTATTGAACCAGTTTCTGATTCAAAAATGATTAATTATTAACACCAGTCATAATATCGTCATGTATGTAATTACTGAAATAATTAATACCAATCATTATAAAGTATGTAATTATTAAAATAATAATCATAATAATAATAATGTAATAATTAACATCAGACATAATAATATAATTATTGAAATTATTAACATCAGCCATGCTAATAAAATGTATGTAATTATTTCAATAATTAACACCAGTCATAATAATAATGTATGTAAATATTTAAATAATTAACACCAGTCATAATAATGTATGTAATTATTTCAATAATTAACATCAGTCATCATACCGTAATGTATGTAAATAGTGAAAAGAAATAACATGAGTGATAATACCGTAATGTACGTAATTATTGACAAAATTGACATAATATGTCGTAATAATCTATGTAATTATTGCAATAATGACATGTATAAGTGTTAATTAGATATGTGATATTTCTTATCTTTAATTATATATGCTATCGATATTTATTATGTAATATATCACAACGAAATATATGAAAGACGATGTTCAACAAACAAATATCAATTAGAACAAACAATTTTAACAATTTGAGCATGCTGGTTTTATTGAACACTAGCCTATACATCTAATAATTCTAAGAGCATAACATGTGAGCATTATTGGAATTATAAACAAAATGTAATATTATTGTATTTGTTTACAATTGTAGACGCTTTAATTGATCCCTCTGCGTTTAGTGAATTAAAAATTAGTTTTTGATTAAGTGTTTACATTTTCTGAATACATATAAAATATGAGCTCACGGATTTATTAAATGACATATAGGCATTCTTTATGATGTCCTTATTCAACAAATATCGTCAAGTACTCTTTTTATCAAAAGTAAAAAAAATGTCTTGTAGGTTGCTACTATACCGCTTACTCGATGGAGCGAGATAATATCCAATGTTGCCATCGAAGACAGGTTGGCTTGTCCGAAGTAAGTCAACACCGGCAGTAGTCACAGTATCCCAAGCTATATTTCGCATAGGGGTTTCAAAATGAACCAGTTATCGAACAGATTTACAGGACCAAATCACATACAGTATGTGTTAGAAAAGAAATTGGTGCATAGGGAAGCAACTCTTACTATCGTTTGGATGCAGACCACTAAACACCAAATAATACCAGGAACTGGTAGTCTGGGATAATCGGGGATAATTGGTTAACTACGTCTATTAATATAAGAACTGGTAGTCTGGTATAATCGGGGCTAACTGGTGATCTACGTCTATCAAGAATAATCAACAACTTGGCCTTGCCTACAAAGTTCCCTATATAAACAAACACAGCAGAATTGTTTCAAGACTACTTTCAGTTCATGGTATCAGATATGGTATGATATATATTTTACATGCAGAGTAATAGTTTTAGAACATCCAGCCAGTTTACGTTAATGGTATTTTCGCATAATTAGGGGCAATATACATTTTAAAAATCATATTTAATAAATATACAATGTTATAATCCAACTACATAAGTTCAGCAATTATTTACAATTAATGATATAACAATAAAATAATGGCAACACAATTCATTTGACATTTTTGTCCCAATTATACATCTTGCAGCAAAGCTGTACCGAGTAATCTTTTCAAGAACATAACCAATAAGGTACTAATAAGCATTACTTACAAATAGGTAAGGTGAAGACATATGTTAGTAGCACGTAATACATGTATTTTTTATAGCCTTGATTGAAGATCATGAGTTTGATTGCTATCCCCTCAATAATGAATGATAGACTTGACCAATCCCTGCACCCTTGGACCATATTATAACGTTACTGTACCCCTAATATACTGGCCCATTTATTACAATTATCGTAATTTCCTAATTGCTCTACCATCCACCACAGAAACGTATAAGTTAACTCCATTCAAACACAATTCACGGAAGAAAATTATAATTGCACGAAGCGTACTTAAAGATACATTATGTAAGATTTAGATAAAGAGCTTGTCATTCTTGCTATAATAGTTCGAAAATAGACAATGTAAAATGAATAATTTGAAACTTTCATTCAAATTACTCTATTGCGAGCGCAGATACTAGCCTTTGAAGGTTTGGCAAGACGTGTGCAATAATTTCAACAATCGTACTGGTTGTTCGAAGCTAAGTCTCGCTCCTTCATTTTTAGCTTAAATCAAAATATGGTTGAACTGTTCTAATCTATTTAATATCGGAAAAATCCGATGCCATCGAGAGTTGATTATGGCCTGGATAAGTTAATTAATGTCTAATTAATAATTTAGAAAGCATTTCAGGCCTAAATAAAGACCTGCAATTGGCAGATTTAGCTCTTGCATAATGTATGTTTAAGTTGCTTATGCGTAATTTAATAGAGGTACAACACACTCTCCTATTTAGGTGTCCGTAAGTCCCAAATCCGCTTTGTTCTACGAGGCCCTGTGATTATAAATGAATGCAACATCGTTACATGTGTATACAAAATAAGCACAAAATAATAATGTATGTTACATATTGAGTTTTTTTTCTTTATTTATGTACACGATATCTATTTCAATCTTTAAAGCTGGACATGGTAACTTCCTCGGTATGGCAGTTGCTGTAATTGCTCTGTGAAAACGTCATGGTAAATGTCTCTCCACGTGGGCGACGAAAAGGCTGTCTGTAATAAACCCCCACGAAACAAAAACAGGCTGATTTAAACTCCTTACGAAATTTCGCTGAAATTAGAAGAGAAATGTTGTTAGTATTAAAGGTTTTTCGTTAAGACTAACGCATGGCAGTCCTATTGCGTCAAGCGGAGTGAACACTTTTTTTAAAGACATGTGTTGGCTAATCCAAATTTGCTGGCTCTTTTCCTTGCTCATGATAGCTATGTTACAGATGTAGGCCGTGACAAATGAACTGCTTGTCAACATGACGACAGCAACGCAACGTTAATTTGGGCCTGATATGCATAATATATTTCCACGAGTCATACATATAGCTTTGTAAAATGGCGAATTCTATTAATTTGTGTTGATTTCAGGATAACGTATACACACGCATTGAGGAACTGATGTTAACATTTTACATACCACATTTGTAATAAGATCATTATGTAATATAGCTCAACGTTCTGCAAGGAAAAACCATTAAGGAGTTACTTTACGATTTAAAACGATTACTATGGGGTGTCTCATTATTGCCCTGTTAACATTTTAGATACTACCAGTTTTCTTCGGAACAATATAAAATTTCAATGTTTTTCAGTTGGGTACTTCAAAAAGTCCCAGAATTATGAACCTTGATTATCATTATTATCGTGTTAACACCCCACAATCATTACACATATGAAATCTTAATCAGATAAACATCTATTGGTTATCAACGATTTTCGACTTTATGTCCCTTAATTACGCTTTATTAGGCCTTATGATATTTCTACAAATTTCCAGTAACAATTTCTTAATTTGCCCCGTGAATTATGTTTCTTGCGGTTTTTCAATTGGATCTTGAGGAATTGGGCAGAAATTTGAATAGTGTAAAAATAAAACATTGTACACTTGTTTTCCACAGAAACATTAAATTAGTGACCATATTTTGTTTTTCTGGGCACCCTATCTGCTGATGTGCGTGTATTTCAATGCATTGCAACATATACATGTATTTGTTACTATCGCTATACCCCATGACAGCATTTGTACACGAGTTCTCGCGTGCTATCATTGCTAGATGCGTGACAATGTCAAGTATTATTTATAACAAAGGCAATGCGGAGGAGTATATTATTCTGTGAGCACTGTTGACGAGCAATGTTTCCATTCATCAATGAATTTGGACACTTTCCTGTCTATTAAATTGAAGCGGTTATTTTCCGACATAGCACAAGAAACGCGCCTTGTGTTGAAGAAATACGTTTTCAGATGTTAGTGCGTAATATCCGGTCTAAATGGATGGTCAATTTCCACAGATACAATTTTTTCGGGATTGAAAGAGTGTAGCGTTAAATACAATTCATATTTAAATACCATTAGATTTTAGGTGTATTCACATTATAACCTCAACTCCAACTGCTAAAGACCCCTACGCGCTAGCGAATTATTGAAATAAAATTGTACCGTGCCTTAGTCACGAAATTACCCAGTGTATGTCTAGTGGACGTTAAACCCCATCCCCCCCCCCTCTCTCTACTACTACTACTACCTCAACTATCCCGAAGTCTAATTTCCGAACACACAAAGAATCAAAGCGTAAAATGTGTAAGTAGCATTCAGTAACTGAATGAAAATAACACATTTCATAATGTGATGGAATACATATTACTTAAAAGTTTATTTATGTTGATGTTTCGATAAAAAAAAGTCTACTAGCGGTGTGGTGTGAATTGGTGGATAATTTCAATATTCAGTCTTATCACTACGGTTAATGATTTAGATACACCATACCGGATCGTACTTAACGAAGCGCATTTGCAATATTCCCGAAATACTACACAAATTGAATAGAAAACATTTGTTTGTTCTATGTTGTATAGTATCAAGTGAATCGCTGGAGTTGGGAAGCAGGGCAAATTTCATTTATTGTTCTGTAATATTTTGTATCGTCCTATATTATGATCGCGGAGCAACCCGAGTCATGCTATACATGCATCAAAAGAACTGTCACGATTACGTAACCTCTCGGGGTATAGTAATATACGATAGCATTGTATTGTCATGCCCAGACTATTTTTTCACTCTAAAAACAGAACGAGATCGCCATCCCTTGTGTGTCTCTTAGCAGCGAGATTTTAGACATAATGAATTCCATGAAAGGGGGAATCCATATATCTCAATACATCAACAAGACTCTAATAGTCTACCCACAGATTCTCTGAAGGTTCATAATGTATTTCAGTAATTAACAGTTTCGCTTGTCTCGCACAAAGCAAAAGTCAGTCTGACAATATTTACGTTTTTTCCAAATGTCCAGAGACAAGTTATCTAAAACAACGCAAAGGAATCGTGTCAAGAAATCACAAACAGTTTGTGTCCATGTGATGCTAGGTTTCACTGTCGTGCGATGCGTTATGATAGGATTGTCCCTATTGGGTACACGATATGGTACGTGCAGATACGTTCGGGTACGTTTCGATACGATCAACACAATTGCTAAGACCGACCTCAATATCTGATAAGACCTGATAGTGTCACCATGATTACTCCACGATTAAAACCACGATTTCTATCGTAGCACGAATCATGATAGTAGGAACCTAGCGTCGTGGTTTTAATCTTGAAGTAATCGTGGTGATTCTAGCTGTATTTGATGACTTGAGTCAAACAGCTGAAACGTTGGGATAGAGATATATCATTATTTAATGCAGATATCGAAAAATCTGTGAATGACTACTATCTTACCACTCATAAAGTTGTATATAACAGGATTTATGGAACTGTTAAAGTAAGGAAGCCAGTGTGTAATCAATGACTGAAGAGTTGCGGCGTCGGAAGACAGATTTTTAAGCGCGCCAACATACCTGAAGAAACAAATTATTAATATGATTAAATCAGTAGAAACGTGCTCATGTGTCACCATTATGGTGCAATTTGAACGCTATATAAATAAAGACTAGCCCCGAGCTAAAAATCGAGGTTTTCTGAAAATACCCGACTGGAAAAGCTTTGGGCTAACTTATTGTCGATTTATTTTCTTTATAATATTGCTAGACTATTATGAGGTTCTAAAGTTCCTTTTCACCATTCTGTTAGTTTACAGATTTCATGACCCTTCTTACTCTGTAACAGTCAATCGTTACAAATGAAAAATGATTTTTAACGTCTTGTTTTCTGCAACAACCGGGAAAGTGAAGAAATGAAATGAAATGGGGTTTAACGTCCTACTGTTCTGCTCCTATACTGGGCTAATGAAGACGGGCATACGCCATACAGTGTGCTATGAGGGAAATTTTGACCGGGCAGCGGCACTATCGCCTACTCTTATATCGAATTCCAACTGCCAAGAGATCTTTTACGTGCATTCCACTGTATACATGGGAGCTCGGTTTTTCGTATCATCCGAAGGACTAGACAGCTGTCCCTGTCAGGCCCTCCGTTCTGCACCACTGACAAGGGGAAACCACGTCGGAAAATCCCGATGAACTTTCTCGGCCAATGCAGGGATCGAACACCCGACCTCCAGGCTAGAGAGCCAGCGTCTTAACCACCTAGCCACCGTGGCTCCAACCAGGAAAGTAAAGGCATGGGCTTAATTACAAGGGACATTAGTGAATCCTCAGGTCGTTACAACCCTGTTTAACAGGTATTGGTCTCTAATGTTGGAAGCCAGATTAAGTCATGTGTTGTCATAATTAATAACGGTGTCAGTTTATTTTCTCAAGTCAGTGAGGAAGACACTGACTCGCTATCCTGGAGATCACAGGTTTGCTCCCGTTGTTGGCCGAGAAAGTTGATCGCGGAATTTCTGACATGGTTTTCCTTTGTCCGTGGTGCAGGACGGGGGGCCTAACAACGACGAAAATCCGAGGTCCAGTGTGCACATTGGTGTGCACGTAAAATTAATCCTTGACAGATGGAATTCGATATAAGAGTAGGCCGTAACGCGGTTGTCCGGGCAAAATTCCCACCGAGGCACACTGCAGAAAAGTAAGACGATAAAACCCATTTCATTTCATTTCTTTCTCAAGTTACTAATTGCTCTATTCACAAGAAGTGCTTTCCATAAACCAGATCAATGCCATTATTTTATTTCCTAAATTGCGCGACAATGCTAATGCATTGACCAAACAATGGTAATATAAGAATACAACAGCTTCTTTGAATTAAAACCTGTTGTTCACATTTCCAATTTAACACGGACAACAGAAAATGCCGCATATTGTTGTTCTTTGACCAACCGCTATTAGCAATGTGAAGTTGTCGCATGTGTTCTAGAAATATGCCTTGAGATATACACGATGTCTATACTTATAGTCAACTAAAGCAATGGTTTTGGCATGGGTTGCAGAAGGTGAATGCTACTTAGTCTACATGTAAGATTTTGATCATTTTTTGTAGTTATCCTAATGTACAATTTTACCAATTTTGGTTATTTTCATTTTACTGCCATTGACTGTAGATTATAGCGAGTATAACACACGGTTGCTTGCATACAGGAGGGAGCGTTCACATAGACTAAGCGTGTTCCCGAATCATATTCAGATATACAGACTAAAACGTTGTTTATAAAAAAAATATTACTCATTGCACATGTTATAAACATGTTAGATACGCCCGTGTCTATAGCATGAACTATACCCGTGCAGCATTTTCTGCTGCACACTTTCACAGGAATGTCTCAGAACTAAAAGTGGGACTTAATGTTTATCCGCAATTATGTTTTGATTTTCTTTAAAATGTTACTTATATAGGAAATAGATTTTTTGCTTATGTTAGCACAAATGTTAGCTACGTCCGTATCTACGACACACTTTCACATGAATTTAATCGCATGCAATATATAATCGACCGCAAGTCTCGGCACTGGTTGAAAAGTGGGGCTAATGTCTTTCCATAATTTCTTTGAAATTGTCTTCTTCGTTTAATGTTAAATCTCATATTCTTAACTGAATATAATAAGAACTCGTTATTTCAATACATTGTACTTGTATTTGTTCATGCCGTAACCATTTGAAAAAGACATTTCAATTAAGACTTTGCAAATAATGAATGTTTACCATTTCATTCGTTGCCAAATTCTTTTTCATGTAAACAAAAGTCAACGACCGTCTTTTCGCTAATTACGCAGTAGATAACTTTTCCAAACGCTTTGAACAAAAAGACGATTGGTATACAAGAAGGTTATTTCAAGAATTAGTTGTACAATTGACTGCCGGTAAATAGCTTCGAATTCATTCGACACGGCAATTTGGAAATAAACGTTACATTTCTAAAGTTATGAGCTCTGAGCTACATACATATATATATACATTTATTTAGACAGGAAGACCATGAAACAAAGCTGTATTAGATAACAATCCGTACCATCTAATGGCGGCACCAATGGTGATATCAGTTATATCAGGCGGTAGACAGATTAGTTTTAATTGACCATTGTATATTTTTATACACATTCTCAGAAAAAAGATGGTTTTTACCTCAAGATATTAACCAAATGAACAGGAAGATAGCACAATGCAAAAACGATTACAATTGTGATGAGCATTTTGGCAGCTTTCCTTCTCGACTGTAATTTATCCTCTTGGTTGTGGCCTTTACCATCGATCATAGATTTTCTTCCGGCTAAAATATAAACAAATAAATAGGGCTTCAAACAATAGCGAATTATTTTGCCAGTAATTGAATTATATGCTGATGCGATGCCAAGCTATTTGTGTTAAGTATAATGTTAAATATAACGTTAGGCATTCGGTACCATCCAGAATGATAAATTGTTTCTACTATTTAATGCTGACAGTTAATGAACATTAATAAAATATTGTCAATGTGTCGGTTCCGAATGTTCTGGCCGCAGGAAATGGGTGCCCCTCTCCCTCTGGACGGAAAAATTGCTTTGATGTTCTAAACTATGACAATTTACAGTGTTAACCACAAACATTTTCTCCCCCGACGATATAACAAAATGAAAAACATGTCTCGATGAAACACAAAGTTGGATCGTAGGCTGTTCATGAGAATTATCACATAAACAAAGGCACAAATATGCTTGCCCTATGTTGAGAATAGTGTGTTAACTGGAAACTAGACAGTAATTTACGAAACAATGGTGTATAATTTTGACATTTTTCAAATATGGTTTTACTCAGTGTTTTCGCTCAAATATTGCAAAAGTATGCAGTTTATAAAACACCCCAGCCATCGGGAATAAAGTAGTGTATCTGTCGTGACTCATACTACCCTAATTTGATCTAATTTATTCATATATGGTCGACATCGTATAGACGTTGGGGTCAGTTACACTTTTATGTTGACGTTAATGTAGTTCTGGTCAGACATGTTTTATTTTACATATTCTGCTTACTGCGTTTTTGGAAGGCATATGATCTGTTCATTGTTTTCGTGGGTCGATATTGTCATGTAGCTAACAAAGTTATACCATATCTCAATTTTAAACTTCAATGCGACTCTTTGAACATGCAATACATTACTAACAAGTTAGAAAACAAATTAAATCTCAAAACACCTCGGTGATAATTTCAGGAAGTCTCCTAAAATTAGTTACACGATTCTGAATTTCGATAACATTCCATCCTATGTTATGATTTAATAAAACTTTTTTTAAAAAATCTGACCTCAAAGTTTCGATGAAAGGGGTAGTATATGTTTAGGCAAAATAGTGCGAAAGAAATCTCTCGGAGAAGGGGGTGCGTCTTGGACGCTGGGTGGATCAGGGGATGGTAAGCTGACTGTATGTGTGTGCATAAACATAATTATACTAAGTGAAAGTGCGCTGGATTTCAAACACTATTGGATATAACACATACTTCTTTAAATCACTTGATAATTGGAAAATATACATATTTGTGCATAATATTAAGAGTTGACATTTTGATGGCATTTATATGAAATAGACGAATCAACTATAAAGTAACATTTCAGCTCGATTTACATAAAATTGAGTTAAAAAATGGCAATGCTCAAAAAATAGAAGTAACTGGTTGTAAAAACTAACAGCAAATCTGTTCTATAACCTGCTTTAACGTTGTATTAACCGTTTAACTCCAATATTATCTCGAATGCCAGAACACATCAATTCCAATCACAGGAACAATTGTGAAGCAACTCAAGTCATTAAGACTGAAAGCCGAGAGGATTTGTTTTGGGCTTGTGTGGAATTAAGAGAGTGGTGATCTTGATTATATTACTTAAAGGCAAAATTAACTGAAAGTAGATGTTAGATACGCCGCGACAAGCATTAGATATTTAGAGAGTTTTTACACGAACATGCTAAGCGGTACTACATGACTATATCAATTACTATCTTCGCCAGTAGGTTTTGCAAATCGAGATATTGAAATTGCTCTTGTATTTTGTATTTATATTCACTACCGATATTATCGCATGATCAATTATATCGCCCTATTTAGCGAAAAGTTGTTACGAGGGTAGTATATGTCATAGCACTGGAGTTTATCATGTATTGGACCAGCTACTAAAAATATCGCGATCAAATGTGGATGTGACGTGCACGAGTTAGTATTGCTTTATTTATTTAAGAACTCTAGATACCACATCGGGTTTCGGGGTTTCTGTTTTGGCGCAAGATGATGAATTTCCGATTCTGTCTTGCAAAATATACTGTAACAAAAGAATGTAATTCTCCAAGGCAATATTAGAAGTTTAGACCATTCACTCACTTTAATGCGCCCAGATTTATGTAAGTCGACATCGTATTCACCTTGGAGCTATGTCAACGATGACCTAGTGGCTCGGCTATTCATAAGGAGGAACCCTGTCAAATTCACAATTAGCGTCAACTATTCACGGGTGTACAAGGAGTATGGTCGCCTTCCAACCTCGTGGGTTTTCTCCGGGTTCTCCAGCTCCCCCCCCCCATTGCTAAAGACCCCTGCGAGCAAGCGAATTATTGAAATGAAATTGAACCATGTTAGTCCCGAAATGACCTAGTTTGTGTCCAGTGGACGTTAAGCCCATCTCTCTCTTCACGGGAGTATTGTTCCGGAAACTAAAACATAGAAAACGCCTTGCCGGTCCCATTTGTTGTGATTGTGCAGCTAAGGAGAGCCATGCGTCAATTGCCCGTTTTAGCGAAACTTTGCAAATAATCTACAGATAAGAGTAATTTAAATAAACATATCAAGCTGGAAATGATTGTTCAAAGTAATTATAAAAAGGCTATAATCTATGGCAGTATATTAGACTCAAAATTCTAACATGCTATAGTCTAATTTCTATCTTCTATTCATGTAATTTCTAACTTCTATTTATATAATTTCTATATTAAGACAATGTATAATCCAACTTCCTTTTTTGTTGAGTGTAAATTTTAATTCTGTTTCATCTTATTTCTATTATTAAGACGAAAAATGTCTACTTTCTCGTCGCTTTACATGTTAAACATGAAAGTCAAACAAATTTAGAATTTTGATACTTCTACTTAGCAACCATCATTATAACGTCGTTTGGTGTCGCCACCGTGTGATCGGGACCATTATGTTGATACCAACGACTCGCTCTTCGTCAGTTTGAATGGTTTGGCGGAGTGTTGAAATTGAAAACAACATCGAACGTGACATGGTTTGCAAATTGAAATATTGTTTCAAATTTAAGCTAAACCGCAAATGTTGTTTAGCTTGTATTTGAAATAGTATTTGTCATCCATATCACGTTCGATGTTATTTTCAATTTCAGCATCGATTCCCCGGTTCGGCGGATGTACGTGACCAGGAGTAGTGCGGCCGGTCCAACCTCGTTGGTTTTCTCCGGGTCCTCCCGTTTGCTCCCACTGCTAGACCCCTTCTCGCAAGCGAATTATTAAAATAAAATTGAACCATATAATGTTAAATGACCTAGTTTGTGTCGAGTGGTCGTTGACCCCCCCCCCCCCCATTTCGTTACTAACATATGGTTCAATTTTATTTCAATAATTCGCTTGCGAGGAGGGGTCTGGCAGTGGGAGCAACCAGGAGGACCCGGAGAAAACCAACGAGGTTGGACCGGCCACACTACTCCTTGTCACGTACAACCGCCGAACCGATAATCGATGGTGAAATTGAAAACAACATCGAACGTGATATGGTTGGCAAATACTATTTCAAATACAAGCTAAACAACATTTGCGGTTTAGCTTATATTTGAAATAGTATTTCAATTTGCAAACCATGTCACGTTCGATTTCAACACTCCGCCAGACCATTCAACCTGAAGAAGAGCGAGTCGTTGGTAGAAATAGAAGTATCAAAATTCTAAATTTGTTTGACTTTCATGCTTAACATGTAAAGCCTCAATGAAGAAGGCATTTCCATCTAAATAATAGAAATAAGATGAAATAGAATTAAAATTTACACTGAACAAAAAAAGATTATACATTGTCTTAATTTAGAAATTCCATGAATAGAACGATAGTATGTTAGAATTTTGAGTCTAATATACTGCCATAATAATGAGATGTTCACTCCAAATTCAGAGTTATATGTTGATTTTGGTGGGGTGTTATTTCTTAAATCTTGTGACGACTGGCTGCCAGTGATAGAACCCGAATATTAGAGTCATAAATGCAGTTTTCCAAGGAATAATTATATAACCTGGTGTGCTGCCCATAGAAAAACGGCTTTACGTACAGTGATAACCCGACCATTAAATCATTTTGACAGTCTTCAATAAGAATTGATGCTACTTATTATAACTAATTGGAAGCAAATAAAAGTTTACAAAGTATCTGCTCGCCGTCTTTAACGCTTAGTTCAGTCATACTCGTACTGACTAAATAACCCTATTATAGTTACACATAACAGAGCACTTTAACTGTAGCCCGAGTGTCCGGACTTCCGCTACAGTATGACATTACATTTATGAAGAGGATGTTCCGTTAATTTGAAGGAGATAACAAAAAAAGTGTAAAATTGACCCAAGATATTATTCTCAAGGATCATAAGATGTTGTAGAAATCTCTGTACAGGCACTGACAGATCACTACACTAAAAATATCTCGAATATAGCCCGAATCCTTTTTTACAGGAAAAATGCCCCGGATGCAATAGTTTTAGACAACATGGAAGTTATGAATGTACATGGTTATATTGTTGTGGCCGATTTAATGCGAGGAGCTGATTCCGCTTACCCTTTCTATTGACACATGATACCACTTCACAACTGAGCTTTATTATTTTTATAATTGAGGAGGTAATAATTCGATCTTGTCTTTGGTTTGATGGACACTCTGTTTTTAATTACACATAAGAAAAGTAAAGCAATAGTGTTTAAATCTTGATTACAGTACTTCGGCCATTTTTACAGGAAGGAGAATTGTGTCCAGACAACGACGTCGCCACCTACCCGAATCTGTTCCACAGCGATAATGCGAAAGCATTCTTTTAACCCCGTAGAAGTTGACTGACCTTTAAGTTCACGTGCATTATAGTTCTACGCGTGACGTTACATCATATGGCCTCGATAAAACGTCCGTTGTTTATATCGGACGTAGTAATAAAAACTGATTCGGGCAGAATTTGTGCTATTTACGCCTTCTCATACTATTTTATGTACCCGTTTACACTAAAAAAGAAATATTTGTTTTTCCAACACATTTTATTTTCTTACTAATTAAAAACTTGTTTTAAAATTTAATTTGCACAAGGAAAAAGTTGATATCAAGAGCGACCAAGGGAATATTTACTGCTGATCAGTTTGCATCTACCCTTCATCGAATACCAACTATTGTGTGTTCGTTTACGCACACTCTAATGTGTACACGGTTAGGCCTCAGTTTAAACGTCTAGCTTATAACAAAAAATCATGAGGTTTTTGCCCCTTAATATTAACTGCCTACAGTGTTTGTATTTATCGTGTTAAGAAAAATGATATAAATCTACTGTTAGTGCTAAATGATAAGGCCAGCTCAATATTTCGTCACGAGATGTAAACAAGGCTAGCGCTAATCCCACCCCTAACTATGAACCTAACCTACAATCTCGCCAACAATCACATGCCCTTACCTTAATTACATCTCCAACGGCTTTGACAAAATTTGAGCTGGCCTTAATAAATATATTTAGCCATAAATCTACACAGATATGAGAGACAATTTATATACCAAACACCACTTTACACTGACGTGAAATTATTGAATATAGCATAATGTGTGATATACATGAATACGTAGTTTATTAGGTCGAAGGCTTGACAACAAAATTGATATTCGTTTTAGACTCTTTGTTATTAACGGTATTATTTTCTAGTATACAATTATTGGTTTACTTGACTGGTTAAATGACGCAAATTGTTTTAGGAGGACAGCAGGAACGAAGAGTTGAACTAAATAGCTATTATTAGTATAAATAAACTTGTCATAAAAAGACGTCTAGAAATTCAAACTTGGCCCATACGATGTCACTTGATAGATGCCTTAATTTTGCCTCACGTGACAAAGCAACAATTCCTACTAGAAATTATTATGTCATAAAAGTGTGTATTTTGTGTTGTTTTGTTTATTTCCGTTTAATTTATTTTGTTTAGGTCTACTAACTCAAACTTTATACTATCCTAAATGGCATGTCGCCTGTGAGGAACCTGGTGAGCTGTTCGACTTTTATTTTCATTAAGGTTTACTTCTTTTACGCGAAGAAAACAGTAATGAAGCTTATAATAAAGCTAATTTATACTTCATGGATGTAACATATTGTGCTGATAAATGTAATGATGTTTCCTTGAAGTAGATCTCTCACATGTTGATTTCGCCCTGCATTATTTAAAATAGGTAATAACAATTGAATACTAGTATATTAAAAATTGCAGACAAATTACTTAATTCTGAGTGAAGTTATGAATGTTTGACCACATGTAGCCAAAATAGTCTCGATTATCAATCACCATTACTACGATAATAAACAAAGTATTGATTATCAACTATAACGTTAAATTATTAAATGACACAGATGTTCTAATCCATGGGATAGACTAGAGTGTTAATTATTATTATGTGTTTGTTATGTAATTAATGTTTCAATAATAATTATATAACAAATGGAGCTAGAAAAAAGACCTGCAATCAGCAGAAACACGGCAGAGCTGAAGTAATTATCAATTTTTTAAAAAATATTCTGGATAGAGAAAAATATAAAGGCACATTTATTTTGTAATTGTCCAGCTGTTTGAATCTCTATCCAATGTTATGTCTGCGTCAGAAAACAAACATTTTAACAGAGCAAAAGATCAGAACGACTGAATACCAAAACTAACTGCAGAGATTCTCTTTCCTCGTGGATGGATTTCTATTATATCTTCAGTCAGCGTGGCGTTCCTCGTCTTCTAAAACTACAAAAGTTATTTTCTTCTCGTTTTATTTTCATAGCACTTGCATAGAATCAATGTTAACAGATAATAGTGCATTTCAATCAATACAAATATAGGTTGCCTTGCAACGCACTATGAGCAGAGTATAACCGCGACAGTATACGATGTAGTCTATTTTCTACACACAACCTATACAAAATTCAAAAGACAACAATTACAGCCTTAACAAGGTTTTAGTGCAAAGAGCATAACCCAAATGTCCATTTGATATAAGCTGCGTCTTCCATTTATATGGTTCGACAACCCACCTAAATTAAATTTACAAAACGGGTTTATATATAATTGAAGTATAAGCAAGGTATTTTTGACAGACATTTCTAATGTGGACAGTTAAATACATATCTTCACAAATATCAAATACCGATACCCACATATGGTGGATGGGGTCATTATTTTCTCATGACAGGTGAAATCTGTTATAAAATCACAGTTCCATTATTTTAATTCTATCTTCCCGTTACACAAAGCATCCTGTTTATAATCATACTTAAAGTAAATGAAATGAAATGAAATGTTGTTTAATGGCACGTCAGCTCCAACCGGGCTATATTGCGCCAAACATATGGTGAATTTAACGAGACAAATTAAAACAATATCACAGGAATGTATTCATATATGTAAATAAAAACAAATATCACAGAAAATATACTTAAAAATAAATATATCAATTCCTTTACATATATACATACTTAAAGTAGCTAAGTCTCTAACTTAATATCATCCAAAGTCTTCGACATTGAAAACACGAATCATTTGTCAATTTAAATCGTATACTTATCTGGAGAGCATGCGCAATAAATACTATCGATGTAGACTGGATTAACCAGACGCTATTCGAAATTGCCATTCAATTGAGAATTCTAGTGTATTTCGCCGAACATAACTGATTTGAAATTAGAATAAAACGGAAACGATTGGATGTAAATCAGTTTACATACATTTATATTACATCATTATATGCGTTGCAACCCATATGTGTAATTTCTAGTTCCCAAATATTAGCGATTAAGCTCCTTTAAGCATGCATCACAATTTACTCTATAATCTGAGCAGGGTTGGTTTATTATATTAAATAATAGAATGTAAATACTTACCAATTTCACCGGGAATCTCTTTCCGCCATAGAACATAGGCTATATTGGCGTAAGTGATCCCCATGAGAATTAATGGGAAAAGATACATGGCGATCATCAGTGCAATCTGGTATACAAACTGAACCCACAGTAACCACGACGGAGCACACGAGGTCAGAAGAATGGAAGTAAAAGGCTTTGGAAACGAATAGCCGAACGTGTCGGCAACAATAAGTTCCGGAAGAGCCACACTGCAAGAAACGGTCCAAATTATGATGATAGTATTTCGGGCTCTGGACAGTGTGGATTTAAAACTCAGAGGATGACAAATAGCGTACCATCTTTCCATACTAATGGCACCAAGAGTTAGCACGGACACAGATACCGATACATTCTGAAAAGAGAAACATACATCTGCAATTATTCATATGAATGAAAATGGAATGCGACGGTCAATATAAAAATACATTTTCGCTTTTGACTTTGAGATCGGATCGGTCTAAAGTTTATGCAACTTTGGAGATACACCCACGCACACGGTACTAAGATCCAGACAGTTTGTAGTGATGTTCACAAAGATTAGTGCACACTTACCTGGATTTTTCGATAATTGCACAAATCTATACTTATATATGCAATTATGTTTAGTGGAACATATTACATTTTCGTAGATGTGTTTTAGACCATACATAATCATGCGGTATGCATCTAATTTTTTAAGACTTACGTCTTTCTAAAATATAATTATGAAGAAAACAAATAATAAATGTCAACGGTAGATATACTATAGCCGCCCGACGTGGATCCAGTTGGATTAAAAATAGGGCATGCATCGAACGGGCACCGACTTGCTCTCATCACATCCCGTTTATGTCATCTGCAGATGATGCCTAATGTTAAAAGAATTTTCAATTCATTACTTCTTTTATTGTAAATATGGAACGGAAACGCAACATATTGGACTTATTTCTTTTAGAGATTTAACTTTTACAATATTGAAGTATGCAAGGGATTGACGACCAGGGACTTTAGTTAGCCCTGGGTCTATTATTGACATTTTATCAATAGTTTACAGCTCTATTATAAAACAAGAATATAAGACACTTGTCATAAAAATTTTTATAACCAATAAAAACCAATTTTTAAGGGATGCATTAAAATATCATTATGTTACACATTCGATATAGCAAAATGAAATGAAATGGGGTTTAATATCATGCTCCGACTGGGCTATGAGAAAGATTTTGCCCGGAAAGCGGCGCCACGGCCGATCAATGTGTACACGGAACTGGTTTCCGTCCCATCCGAAAGATTAGACAGCCGTCCTTGTCAGGACCTCCGTCCTGCACTACTGACAAGAGAAAACCGCGACCTCCAGGCAGGTCAGCCAGCGTTATTGTACACCATTTCACATAAGAGTCGGGAAACAGACAATTGTTGGTATCTTATTGATGCTTTCAATCTGTAACATAGTTCAAAGGTGTAATTACGATATTTTATCATATAAGATACTGTGCTCGATAAGTGCTTATTGTTTAGCCTTGGAATCCACATTAGAACGACTTACATGACCGTTCATGCCAATGGAATAAGCTATTTAATTGAGGTTAGTGACCACAAGCTTTTAATCAGTTTGTTTTATGTTTAACAAGACAATCAGTTGTTCCAGTAGTAGATTAATAAATCCATTTGATGATTGTGTTTACAATATAATACTTGAAGATCCTATATGTAGTTTTAGTTTAGGACGGTGCGCTTTGAATACAATGCCATTTGATAATAATGTGCCCCGCAGCTTCAATCTCACCAAATGGATACATCACACCGTATAGAAAAACTGAAAAATTCATAAATTGTGGGGCGATCCTCATTGGATGGATTACGGTATAATATACTCTACAAAATATCATCCGGGTATTTCTTAAAAATTTACATATGATAATCCGCACAGCTAAATCTTAAAATCGTCCAAACAATACTTTCACTAGCCAAATTCTAAAAACAATCTGTGCTCTTATTTATGTTCTCAGTCGATAAAAAGGACATTCTCTTAAGTATTTCATGAAAAGAATCACCGTATTGGATCCACCCTAGAATGTAACACAATCTGCTACTGAAACAGCCAAAGTGTATATGGCATATGTATCTATAACTATAAATATAATATTTTACAACCAAGTCCATTAAAATAATGACAGAAACGCAATTTTTTGTTACTCCCAATGTTGGCGAATCTCTATTTTTTTGTTAATTAAATGAGCACACAATTGGTTGTAAACATGTCCATTTCAAGAACACTTAAGAACCTGCCTTTAATCTTAGCACATAACACGGCCATTTTCAACCGGAAACTATTCACGCAATTTGTTAGATCACGTTTGAATTCGCCGTAAGGCTTACAAAAGGTGTTTTACTTGATACAAAGTCTCTCCGCAGAGACTCATAAACGATAGAATAAATAAAGTTTCTGACATGTTGCTCAAATATGTCTTACCGAATTCAATTTCCTTGCCAATTTATGGCCGAAATAATTACTTGCGGTTGTCGTAAACGTTAGAATTCAATGTGGGGATAACCTACTTGCGGCCTTTCGATATAATTTCTTTCTTTAGAACCGGGAGACATGGGATAGATAAATTTTATAAGAGTTCAGAGAAGAGGAATAATGTATTAAGCCGTTTGATGCTCACTGGGGAAAGGTTTTTAAAGATTTTCATTAAGCTAAAATCGGAGTATGAAAGTTTGTCGTGAGGGTTGAAGAAAGGTTTAATCCTTTACAAAACAAAGACAGAGGTTATAAAATATGTGATATAATATGCAATAACATGTTATATTCAACAACTATTATCCCAAAATTGTCAAATTGATTATGGATGTAACAACTTTGACTATAACTACGTAATTCTGACATATAACGGTGATTGTTAGGTATAATGTGTGGCTCTAACTTTCTTGTACTTTTGTATTTATGATTCAGATTGAGTTTATTTTACTCACAAGATATTTCACTAAACCTGTTTGGTCTAACTTATAAAATGCAATACATACTGCTGATGAAACACTTTACGTGTATTTGGTGATATCGGCAGAATAATACTCTCGATAAAATTATATCATTGCCACAGATTCCAAAATATACGCGCACCAGCAGGGAGGCAGCAAGGATGTCGCGAAGAATGAGACAACTAAAAATAGCGGAGGCATTAACGCGGTATAAATGGGAACTGTGTGTTTCCTCGTTATTATTAACCGACCAATCCTAGTAAGTTTGAAAAATAAATCCTAAATTCTCAGACCGAACATTGTTACTTTGTATCGAAGATCTGACATGGATGTACCCTTAAATCAGAAAATAATTCATCTGATGTTTTGGTTTCTAGTGAATAGTTTATATTCTCTGTTCAGAACCTATATCTTTAGTACATTGTGCACCCAATTAATAATATGAAACCCCAAGAAGAAATATCTCTTTAGCACTTACTGACCAATATCAATTTAGGTATCATCAATTACAATGCTCATTAAATATTAAGCTTGTATGTTGAAAGTCTAATTATGAGGTGTTAACTTCAGTGTTTCTAAAGAGGCCATGATTGTCTTCTCTATCTTACCTAGTCTTAATGTGTCCATAATGTTTTGCACTTGGTAATAATGTTGAACTAAAGGAACTGGTTTAATGTTGAACTAAAGGAACTGGTTTAATGTACCAAAGTCCCACAGATTTGTTTTTACAATTACATTTATCATCTATAAGAATTGTTTAAGCTTTGATTTAAGGAAGTTTTCTGGTTAAATTACGTAGCCTACCATCAATCATAAAGGGCATTCAAAATTCTATAAAGGCAAAGTCCCAAATCGTTGTAAATCGAATGGGGAATTTAACACTGCAGCGTGTCAAGTCGATAAAAGTACATTAGAATGTGTGCCAGAAAGACAAAGCATCCACGATCCCCATGTACGACATTGCTACAAACCATGAAAGGGAAAGTTGGGTTTGGATGAATAGCTATGTGCCATACCCATTGCTAATGTTCTTTAAGTCTACTAGTTAAATAACCCTTGGCTACATGCATAATTCCCCTCTCCTACGAACGTTAACATGGAATGTGCAGGCCCTGGCATAGCGATTGATCTGAGAACCAGAAATACTGACGACTAGGTCAAGTTAATGAGCATTGAGGGTGTGTTGTAGCAGATTGAGATTGACATATAATTATTGACTTATATGTCCAGTCTGCCGATAAAGTGTTGCACTTAATTTAATTATATGTCCAGTCTGCCGATAAAGTGTTGCACTTAATTTAATTACTGAATGAACAGACCTACATTTCAAGCAATTTTGATTTTCACAATTGTTGTAGATATCACACATTACAAATGATCATTCTCTATGTTCGTAAGTGTGATTAGAGGGTGCCAACCAGAAATCATTAAACATTTATGCCATCTTATCTGAATTTAGATCGGTTTGTACTATAGACACCATGCAATATTGGGTCGCATATAACTGACAAGTATGGATGGAATATGTTAGGTTTTAGTCCTCCCTGGTATGACGAATGGTATATTTTGTTTAATGTACGCGGTTGCGTGATAGAAAAACCCAATCTTTGTACAGACCCAGCCGACCAAATTTACATAACTAGTTGGAAAATTTAATAAAATGCCAATCTCCTAGAATTCATTCTAGCTTTTACCATATCAATAAGGTATTAACACTTCGACACTAACATTCGCCAGTAGATCAACACAGACCATTTAACGTGGCTTCTAGACAACCTAGCATTGAATGGTAAAGATGGAAGATGGCAGCTATATAGAAAGCCATCAATATCTTGTAAAAGGTGCATTCATCTAGTAAAGAAATACACGCGAACACGATTCTGCCAGACAGTTACATATGTTGGCCACTAAGCTTCGATATTACAATCACAGCAGACTTCTTACTCAGAAGCATTGATGCTTGTGTTTGAGTCTATCATTGGTTGACGAGAGATTCTTCACATGAGTAAATTGCTTTGTTGATAACTAATTCTACTGATAAATGTATAATGATTCAAAACAAGTAGAGTTCTAATTACTTTGTATATTTGCACAACGAGACGATATGATGAGCTTTAACTTCTCAATCACAAACTGACTTAATGAACATCCGAGCACTAACTTGGGGAAATATTAGCGAACTTCCTAAAGGATCTCTAAGAAGCAAAAAAGAAAAAAAATAAACACATAAAAGAATGCAATTAAAGATTCTGTCAAATCTTGAACGTAATCTCTTCAGTTAATGGATATACAGTGTGCTGAACTGTAAGAGACGGTGAGGATTAACGTCCACTCAGCACAGTTCAATATATCTGAGACTAAAATATGATAATTAAATACTTAAATAATTCA